AAGGTGTCCACGACCAAAATGGAGAAGAAAATAACGGGTAAAGCGCAAGGGACCAAAGCTATCAGGAAGATGGAAAGACACGAACAGTGTAAGGGAAAAAAGAAAGGGAACGGTCAGTCAGTGACGGTCAGGACAGAGATTGAATAGTGACAAGGAGCTCCACAGCTACACATTAGAATGTGGAATCAAGCCTTGATGTCTGAGCAGGGGCATTGTCGCACGCGCTTGAATTTCAACCCCTTCGGTGGCTAGGGCTAGCCGCAGACTAGAAAGGGGCTAGATAGGCCAGAAGATTAGTGAGGGCAGTAAGGACTTTGTTTCTACCTGCTGGTAGAGACAAAACTGGAGCCCCGTCTGTTGTTTTGACCCGCCTTTGTACAACAACGCCAAGTCAAATTTCCGTTTTAGGTATGGGAATCTTCGAAGTGTAGACGGGCTTTCATGGGTTTTGCAAGGGACTTAAAATTTACGGGTAACGTTGTCATGAGATTCTGCAGGGGTTTACGGGTTTTGACGGGTTTTGAAAACGCTCGTCTGGAATTTGCCAGAAGGATTTGGAAGGATTTTATGTGATGATTGTGGGTTTTACTGGGAGAATTAAACGGTATTTGTGGTATTTGGAAACGCATTTAGAAAGATCTTAATTAATGCTTTGGAAAGCGTGGGCTTTAGGCCCTGTAGGCGCTGCAGCCCAGAGCTGAAGCCCAAACCTAAACCCCAAAATCTCAAAAACAGAAAACCACCAGTCTAGACACGCGTGAACCCTTGGACATTTACCGTACACGCCCAGATAAGCCGGGAATCCTCTGAACATCATTGGAAATCTTTTGGAAATTCCTTGAAAATGCCTTGAAAATTCTTGGAAATCCTTCGAAAATCTTTGGAATCTTGGAAATCCTTTGAAATGCTTGGCAATGCTCTGCAAATCCTTCAAATCCTGCACACCATAACCACTGTGGTGTTATTGTTGACGGGGGAAACAGCATGACGGGGTTGCTGCTTTTTTCCTTTACCAACAGCGTTCAACTGAAACTGTTGTTGTTGTTGGGGTTGGTATAGGAGTTGGTGTTAGTGTTGTTGATGTTGGTGTTGGTGTTGGTGTTGCTGCATTTGCTGCTGCTGCTGTTGTTGTTGCTGCTGGTAGCCCGGCTGGTGCTGCCGGTGCTGCTGCTGCTGCTGCTGGTGGTGGTGGTGCTGGTGGTGCTGTTGGTGTTGGTGTTGGTTATAGTGTTGGTGTTGTTGCTGGTGTTGGTGGTGTTGGTGTTGGTCGTTTTGGTGATATTGGTGGTTTTGGTGGTGTTGGGTGTGTTGGTGGTGCGGGTGGTGCTAGTGGTATTGGTGTTGGTGTTGGTGTTATGTTGCTGTTGCTGTTGCTGTTGCTGTTGCTGTTGCTGTTGCTGTTGCTGTTGAATCATAGTTGCGTTTTGTTGTTGAATCATATGTCATACGTGGCGATTTCAGAGGACCACCAACAACGGCACATGGCACATCCTGAAGATTGGGCCCTGAAGCTATGTGTCTCCTTGGTATGCACAGCACCGACAGTGGTGCTGGCATCAAACGCCCTGTGCTTGGAGTGTGATGGATGCAAACGTCACCAAGTGCGGTTACCCATTGCTTTGGAGCACAAGCGGTTGTGTCGTCTGGGGTGTTTGGGGCTACAGGCGGTTCTCGTGAGCAGAGGCGACTTTTGTACCATCCCCAATTTGCTGTGTCTGCGAGTCTCAGGTGAAAGAACGGCAAAGCTGTCTCCTTATACGGTCGCCGCACGGTCTCGGCCCTTGTTAGCCTGGAACGCCAATGTGAGGTTTGCTCTCCGCAGAGACGAGCCCGAAGCATGCCATTGCAGTCGAGTTCTTCGTGATGTCAAAGTGTCCGCTTCGCAGGGTTTGCGAGTCAGGCTTTTCAGGCGCAGACAAGGCCTTTGAACAGAGGTCCTGATGCCAAGATCTGCGAGCAGACCTTTCTTCCGGTGGCGGCCCAAGGTTTCCGCGCACGCCGAAAGACGCTGTGAGAGAAAGCGAAAGGTCCTACGGCCTAAGGTCGTTTCAGATTATTCGGGCATGAGAGTCTTTCTGGTTCTCCCAGGTTCTGGAAGACTTAGCCCAGCTGGTCACCGTGAATTTCACCTACATCGCAGACTCCAGCAAAACGCAGGCAGAGCTACCCTCCCGGGTTCACAAGTGTTCACAGCGGCAGAGCGCAAACCTGGGACAGGAAAACGGCGAGCAGCCTGCTGTTCAGTGCATGCATGGGCCAGCCGAGTGTGTCGGAGATCAGCAACGTCTTTGTGCTCAGACGGTCCTCACCTCTCGTTCTGTGTGCTCCCTACTCGAAACTAAGTTCGGTGTGACCGTCCTCTGTCCCATGGTTTGGGGCCTCGCTAGCCGCTAGCTAAGGGCGCAGATCTACGTTTCGCCTTGTGCCAGGTCTTGAACTGTGGCGGTGGACCCCCAAGAAGTCCCCGAATGCACGGCCAGGACGCTGGGACCGTCCCCGAGAAAAGGCGGTGGCTGTTGCACAACACATACCGTCCTCCTTTAGGTGCTTTAGCTGTGGGAAGTTCAGCAGCAAATCTCTCAAGCACAACCCAGCCCGAAAACCCAAGCAACAACTGCTATCAACAGTACAATGGCAGATCATGACTGCTACTCCTGTTACTGCTGCTGCTACGCCTGGAAGCTGTGTTCTCGAGCAAATTCAACATCCGCTGTGCTGCTGCAGGCTTGCGCAAAGTCGGCTGGCTTCGAAGAAGTAGAATCTTGGCTCGGAGACGGGTTTGCCGCCTCTTCGCCGTTCCGTGCTCAGAGTTGCCGAAAAGGAACTGCAGGCATGGGATGCCTGCTTGTCTGGGACGCTCGGGGAAGAGCTTCTTCGAGTGCCCGGCTTGGATGCCGGCGGCTCCACAAAGCGATCTGCTACTTGTAGGGTTTTTCGCATCGCGAGGCCTCAGCCGAGCGTGCGGAAAGTCTTTCGATCACGACTTCCTGCACGCTTCACGTCGAAAGCCAGGCCTGGCCCCCGCCTTTTGTTTAAACGCTTCGCGTCGTCCGCCTCGGCCCGGGTGTACTTGAAGCAGGTGCTCTGCTTTTCGGAATAAAGCAACAGGTAGGTCACACAAGAAGGGGTGCATTTGCTTCCGAATGTGTTATTGATGTCGGTATTTTGTTTTCATGCTGAGGCTCTGTGCAAAAATCCCACGCGAAAGGTGGCACATTCCCTGCATTATCCCAGAGACGTTACATGACGTTACTATAAAGATCGTGCTACACGTCTCACTAGCCTAAGGATCCAATTACCTAATAAGCATATGCTCTCCCAAATATTAACGTAGATAACTACTCCCCGTAACCCAAGTACCTTATTATTGGGGCCTCTGACCCCTAGGGCTACAACCTCACATATGTTGGAGGGGGATGGGGAATCAAGCGTTGCAGCCAAGTACGAGACACAGCCCCAGAATTCCCAGGGCTTGGCATCAACTTCACGAATGATGTAACTAGCCTGTCTTGCCTCGCCCGCCACAAGGAAAGAGACGAGAAAAAGGGAGTGGGAAGGCGGCGGTGAGGGGGGCGGGCTTGCCAACCCTGAATCTAGCTTCAAGGATTTCGAGGGGGGGAGGGGGGCGAGGGGTGGGCTCGATGAGGGGGGTGGGTCGCTGCGAAGGGGAGAAAAAGAGGTGGGGAACAGGGAATCCTTGTGGATACGGCGAATTTGCACTTAAACCACTCCCGGTGCCCGTTGTGTCGCCGAGGCGTTCTGCGTACATGATGGACGGTGGAAAGATTGCGCCACACCGAGAGCCAAGATGTGCGGCATTTTGAGGGGGGCTCCTGAGGGCCGCGAATCTGACTGAGGCGGCTCTGCGTGCACAGATAAGGCCGATTGCCTCAAAGCCAAGGCACACAGAGAACGTGTGGTTCGTCAGCGGGGGCTGCTTGAGCAGAGTCTTCGAACGAAGGTGTGTGAGCTCTCCCGACACCCTCGAAAGAGCGAGTTCTGCCAATGAGATATATTGGCCAAGCGATGTGCGGAGAGAAAGGTGGCGATTTCGCAAGCCCGCAAACCATGCACGCCCCGTGTGATTTCTGAGGCTTTCCCAGCGCGTCCTTATGATGAAGATGCCGACCGCAAAGGCAGATGAGAGCTGTGAGCTGAAGCATTGCAAAGTTTGATGCCCGGTTTTCGGGAGGTGGCGCTCGAGATGTGCTACGCGCTGCATGCCTTCTCCAAGCCAACTCCTTGTTTCTGTTTATGTGTCGCAGAGTCGCAGCCTCCAGTCCTCATGCGCCTCCGTGACCGGATCTCTCCAAGGCTTGCGAAGTTCTTGCCGTCCGTCGAAGCTGTTCCTGCTGGCTGCTCAGTGCCCGCTGATTTTCACTAATAACGTTATGAAGATCCAAGGCCCTCTATGGCAAGGCGGACCGAGTTGCACTTCTGGCAGACCCTACCTAATCGTTCGAAGCCGGTCCTCATGTAGGGCGTGGCATGTCTTCGTAGCCATGGCTCAAGCTGTAACAGGTAACAGCATTTAGTGGAGCACGTGAGAGAAGGAAGAGGTGCCTTTGACCCTTTCCGCCTCGCATGGCCGTCTCCTCGGCTAGCGCGGCTCTTGGCAGGGTATGGCAGGGACCCGCGCCGTTTAAAAGTGCGCGCGCACGCCATCGCACGACGCTTGTGCGCGTGCAACTCAGGTCAGCCGGCGGGGCTCTCCAGCGACGGTGGCTCGGCCCAAGTTGCCAGGAGCAGAGAAGCAGAGAGAATGAGTCAAGAAGCGACTGCAAGTCACGGAGGCTTGGCGCTGCCTTGGCGTGGGCGAGCGCGCTCGGCCTCGCCCCCTCCGATTTCAGGTGTCCTTCCCTCGTCAACGCTTTTGGCAGCGACTTCGAGTCGCCGCCACTTCCCCGGGGCTCGTGCGGAGCAGACGGCAGTCAATGAGCCACCCCCCAGGCCGCTGTGAGCCATTCGAAAAGGAAGACATCTAGAAACCGAGTTGCGAGGGTGCGCTGCGCGTTGACGCCCTCCGTGGTAGCGCCTTGGCTGCTGCCGGCTGAGCGCGAGCCCCAGATGGAAAGAGGCCCAGGCCAAGGCCAAGGACAGGGAGAGGTGCCTGAGACGCCCGCTGTCCGCTCTTTGAGCTCTTTAGAGTCTCAGTCGCAATTGAGAGGACAAAAATTGCGTCTTCTTGATCTCTCTCATCTTCTCTCTCTTCTCCTCTCCAAGGAAAAGAAAGATGCACAGCGCCACCTGCAGCTCTTCGGCATCCCCCACCTGGAGCTGACCAGCCACAAAGGAGCGCAACTACGCCCGCCTGCGCGCACGCGGCGTCCCATCTTGCCTCCCTTTCGTTGGACAACGGAGAGAGACCACTGCTTGTGGTGAAATCTGAATGGCAAGGCTCCTGCAGAACACTTAGTGACTTTAGTGATTGCGGTTACCGCCTATATCACCTTGCTTTGTTGAGGGTGAGACTGAACTACAGGAAGCTCTCGCAGCACACTTTGGCGGTTAGCACGCTTACATCCTGGGGGACAGGAGGTGAGCAGGGAGGAGGAGGAGGAGGAGGGGACAGGAGGCGAGCACGCACACTCACACACATACACTCACACACACAGAGACATAGAGAGACGTAGAGAGACACACTGAGACGCACAGAGACACACAGAGACGCACAGGGACGCACGGAGACACAGACACAAACAGACAGACACAGACAGACAGACACACAGACAGAGACAGAGACACAGAGACAGACACAGACACAGACACAGACACAGACACAGAAACAGACACAGACACAGACACAGACACAGACACAGACAGACACAGACAGACGCAGACAGACAGACAGACAGACAGAGAGAAACACGGCAAACCGTTGTTCCGCACGGTTTAGGAGGCCGCCAAGGGCTTCGGCACAGCATCTCCCTGGACGCCACTTGGCAGAAACAGAGGAGTCAGCAGAGAGCATGGCGCATCTGACACACGCTCATGTAGGTCTTGGCAGTCACTCCAAAGGTGGGAAGTGCGCGTTGCAGCGGTAAGACGAGTACTCGGAACGATGTAGGCAAATTCGGCGATTCCGGAGAAGAAGACCCCGAAGAAGCGGGAAATTTGTCCCGAGGCCAAGCGAAAGGAGGTCAACAGCAACCCATGGAACAGGATTAGTTTTCCCTTTGCTGAGGCGGTTGCGCCAGAGTTTTACGCACAGCCACCTCGACCCACTCGTGGACTTCCCATTAAGGCCATCCAGGTCAAGCCCTCAGAGCACTTCACGACATGTGACGGAACTGCCAGGCCAATTTCGCTCGCCTCACAGGAGCTTCGAAGTGCACGTGCTCTGAACGCACGCCCGAGGGCACTTCCCCGTGTCGCGGTCTCCTGCTTTCAGGACCAGCGCTGCGGGCCCTGGCCGAGGCCGAGGCACGACAGACCTTACCTCACCCTCGGCGCGAAGCGGCGGCGCAGAGCGGCGCAGAGCGGCGGCACAGGTGGTGGACCTGGAGGCTTCCCGCGAGTTCCCGCGGCCTTCGCGGATGCGGGTGAGCTTCAAGCCCCCTTCCCGAGCCTTGGAGACCCTCAACCAGGATCAACAAAAGCCTTCCGAGGATCTGATGCCAGGCTGCACCTAGGAGAGGGAAAGGGTGAATAGTTGAAAGACAGAGGGAACAGGAGTTGAAAAAAAGATAGATAGATCCTAGATAGATAGACAGCCAGATAGATCTCTCTCTCTCTCTCT